CCAACCGAAGGGTCTAGAGGGCCAGATGACCGAAAATAGCCTGAAAATCATCTCCAACTGAGGGCTAGGCTAGAGGGCTCGTAGGCCCCATGGAATCTGAAAGGGTCAAAGGGTCAACCGGCTAGCCTAATCCAGCCAGCCAGCCAGCCCCGGGCTCCACCATAAATTTTAGCATTTCTGTTGGATATAACCGATAAGAATTCTAGACCAAATTTCAAATGCAACGACTAGCTGACATTAGTTAGCCGTTATTTTTGAATCTTTTTATAGCTTTATTTTTTACACAATTTTTTTCCTATAACTTCTAATTTTTTCTATAACTTCCATTTTACAAAATTTGTTTTATATTTTTTTTCCTATAACTTCTATTTTACAAAATTTGTTTCATATATATTTTTAAATTCTATTTTTTTTTAAATGCAACGGCTAGCTGATGTCAAGTTTCGCCATATAACATCCCATGATCCATCACTAAAAAAAAAGGCAAATGCAGATGCCTTAATAGTTCGTTAATGCTTTCTACTTTTTTTTGAATAAAATTTATCTAGTTTTGCCACTCAGTACTACGGTCTGGTGATATTCCTCTTCACTTGGAGGTGAGAGGTCTTAGGTTCGAATCTCGTGGATAGCAAATTCGATACCAAATTAGGTTGCCCATTGTGTGGCTTAGCCGAACTCCATCTCACCTTAGTGTAAAAATATTGATGTATTCAAAAAAAAAAAATTCATCTAGTTTACAACAACAACAAAACATTTTTTTTAACTAAGTGGCATTTTTTAACTAAGTAGAGTCGGCTGTATGAATCCTAGAACGTCATTATACGCATTTCTGTGTAACGTCTTCCATTAGATTCAAGTAGTCTAAGTCTTTTTTTAGAGTCTCTTCTAAAGTCTTCCTAGGTCTTTCTCTACCCCTTCGGGCCTAAACCTTTGTCCCGTAATTGGATCTTCTAACCGGAGCATTAGTAAGCCTTCGTTTCACATGTCCAAACCATCGTAACCTATTTTCTCTCATCTTTCCTTCAATTCCGACTACTCCTACTCTAGCTCGGATATTCTCATTCCCAATTTTATCCTTTCTCCAATACCCACACATCCAACGAAGCATTCTTATCTCCGTTACACCCATTATATGTATGTGTTAATGCTTCACCGCCTAACATTCCGTGCCATTAAGCATTGCTGGCCTTATTACAGTCTTATAAAATTTTCTCTTGAGCTTCAATGGCATACAACGGTCACACAACACGTTAGATGCACTCTTCCACTTCATCCATCTAGCTTGTATTCTATGGTTGAGGTGTCCATCCAATTCTCCGTTCTTTTGCTAGATAGATTCTAGGTAGTGAAAACGGTCATTCTTTGGTATTTCCTGATCTTCAATTCTCACCCGTAACTCATTTGAGCATCCGTTTACATTGAACTTGCACTCTATATACTCTGTCTTTGATCGACTTAGGCGAAGACCTTTAGATTCCAACATTTCTATTCAAAGATTAAGCTTTGCATTTACTCATTCTTGAGTTTCATCAATCAACACTATATTGTCTGTGAAAAGCATACCCCAAGGAATATCATCTTGAATATGTCATGTTGACTCAACAATTACCAATGCAAAAATGTAAGAACTTAAAGATGAGCCTTGATGTAACCGTACAGTTATGAGGAAGCTTTAGGGTTGTCCTTCATGAGTTCTTACAGTAGTCATTGCTGCATCATACATATAATTTGTAGCTTGGATATATGCTACTTGTACTCATTTCTTCTCTAAAATCCTCCAAAAAATATCTCTTAGGACCCTATCATATGTTTTTCTTCCAAATCTATAACTTTCATCCAGTTTGCCTTAAAAAAAAAAACAGAAAGGAAAGAGGAATATTTACCACCTTGTAAGTTCCAAGCTTCACCTTTCCACCGACATCTATGAAGTCGAATAGAACCTAGAAAGGAACAAAAATTTTGGTCAATTGAGACGAAAGAGGCAAGCTTTTAAACTTGAAAAGACTTTAAAATTGGATCTGAAGCTTGTTAGACTTGTGAAAGCGGTGACTAAGACGACTTCCATTTGACATTGTTGCAAGAAGAGTCGCAGCAGTCTGATCATCTATTGCTGGTTCACAAGGAAGCGAAGCACTTTTTGCAGCAACCCTACTCTCAAATTCCTGCCATCAGATTGTAGGGAAATTTTTTTTATAATATTAGGCCGTTGAAAGATCAAAACGACAATCATTCCATCATAAACCTCAACCTAATTAACTAATACTTACAATTTGGGTCCGATATCTTAACTCTAAGTACTGGAAAATTACCAAACAATAAAGGGACAGATGAATGTTGTGTAAATTGAGGGTGCAAAGACAGTCATGGAAGTCATTGGAATCTAATTCTATTTCCTTGATACAGTCATGGAACACATTGAAAACTACCAAACAAGTGTGAGTAGGTTTGAGACTACAAAAGCAATTGAGAAAAGAAACACAAAATATTGAATCATTATTTTCCAATACAGTGGATTGCGGGCTAATAATTTTGGATTTTTGTCGAACTAATGGACTGCTGGTTTCTTAAATTAATTCAATAGATCGGGACCATACATGATCGATTATGAAAGAAAAAATAATAATGACGTTCGAGTCATATTCACTTTGAATGTCTTCGGGCAAAGCAATTGAGAAAACAAAGCCTAATTAAGCTTTAGTCAAGGACACCCCAACATAATTGGATGTTGCTACCAAGCAACAAGGCCAAAAATTAACAATGGGTCAAGAAATTCATGGAAACCCATCAAGGAATTGATGGCTTTTGTGCAAAGTAAGGCCTTGCAATCATCAGACTACGGGTTGTGCTCGAGCAAGCTATTGTAGGTAACCTAAGGCCATCTCCAATCGAAGGGTCCAGATGGCAAAATGGCCGAAAGTAGTCTGAAAACCGTATCTAACCGAGGGCTAGGCCAGAAGGCTCATAGGCCCCATGGATTTTGAAAGGGCCAAAGGGCCAACCGGCTGACCCAATCCAGCTAGCCAACTAGCCCAGGTCAGGCAAAAAATTCTAGCATTCTTGTCGGATATAACCAACAGGAATTCTAGGCCAAATTTCAAATGCAACAGCTTGCTGACGTCAACTGTTATTTTTGAATTTTTTTTGCAGTTTTATTTATTTATTTATTTTTTACACAATTTTTTTCCTATAACTTTTATTTTTTTCTATAACTTCCTATAACTTCTAACTTCTATTTTACAAAATTTGTTTCATATTTTTTTTTAAATTCTATTTTTTTTCCCATAACTTCTATTTTACAGAATTTGTTTCATATATTTTTTAAATTCTATTTTTTTCCTATAACTTCCTAAGCCATTATACAACATTAAATTAAATTAAGTAACATGAAACAACATTAAACAATATGAAACAACATTAAATAACATTAACCAACTTAAGAATTATACAACATAAAACTTAAATGCCTACTGCATGCTATTTTTGGCCCAAAGATGTGCAACAAGATCCTGTTGTAGGTATTTATTTGTGGCACGGGAACGTATCCTTCTATAGCGCCTCATGTACTCATTTATAAAGATACTACCAATTCTTGGATTGAAAGGAAAATTAGGCCCATCATATATTTTTGCATGAGCCCTTCTTGATCTATTTGAATCTTCTTGATCATCATCGGACTCTCCATCAATATATCTCGCTCATTCTCCACTATCATATTGTGTAATATGATGCAGTTTTTAAATAATAAATTATGTTTGGCACTCGGTTGGAGACGGTTTTTTTGTGACATGGCTAAAATGAGCCCTACGGCCCTTTGGCCATCAGTTGGAGATGAAGACAAATATGGCCCTGTACTGTTCATTAAAATATTAATTTCTTGGACGCCAGAGGGCTAAAACGAGCCCTCTAGCCAGCCTTTGGTTGTAGATGGCCTAATATCCTGCAAAACAAGCTGTAGGTTTGCTAGTCACGAAGCTGAGGAAAAACAACCCCATCGTGAGTCTGTAGGCTGCAGCAGTGCACAGGTCGAGGGGAAAGTGCCCATCAGAGTGATCAGGTGTGCAGTCTCGTCCAACAGATGGGAAAGACTAGGCACTTAGCTTGGTTCTCATGCGCAGAAAGCAAGCCTAGAGGGTTGCTAGGTCAAAACGTCAAAATGATGTCATCTTGGTAGAGTCTGAGCAACAGCTCGGCTCGGCGCGACTTAGCACTTGGGTATAAACGCAGGCCAACCAGCGCAGTGGCACTTGATTGGCAAAAAATGAACATTGAGGCTTTGAATTTGTAGAAGAACCTCCTCTATGAACCTTAAGTTCCTTAGCCTCGGACAAGAATATGCTGCTAATGTGTTGTTGACCTATTTAACTGAAGAATTATAGAGAGGGAGAGAGGGGTGCGACACATAGGGAAAGAGATTGATTTGGTGTATTCTGATGTGTGTTATCTTACATCATTGTGTCTTTATTTATAGTAGTAGAAAAATAAATTCCTTACCCTTTAGGTATTACAACTGAATCAGGACACTATCTAAAATGTATAACACAACCGCAGTAGAATTTGCACAATAACATTCCTCACCTAATTAGAACTTCAACAAGATATATCTTTTACACTAAGGGGATGCAAAGTTGGGCTGAGTCACATAATAAACAACTTAATTTGGTATCAAATTCACCATCTTTTTAGGTCATTTTGAATCTAAGAATCACACCATATCCAGCCAATGAAATGGTTAATTGATTTTAATTTAAATAAAATAATCACCAAATTTAATATATATATATATATTTTTTATTTTTATAAAGTAATGGAAGAGTGTATTGTTTAGATTTCAGGGTGCGTTTAGACTCCCTTTACGTGTATGGTTCAAAGGCTCAAAAGCCTCGAACCAAAAGCCCACAATAATTGCCCAATCAGAAAGCCCAGGAAAAGAAATAGTCGGGTCCCATACGGCGTCGCTTCGTTCTCCTCCCTCGCTGCACAAACTTGTACAAAGAGAGAGGGAGAGAGCAGCACTGTAGTATAGCATTACCTACAGAAGGTACCAAAAAATTCCCCCAAATTTGTGCCCTAGGATTTCGAGTTTTCCCAAATGGAAGGCGACGACGATACATCGGGACCAATGATCGACGATGAGATCTACGCCAACGGCGTCGATGGAGACAACGAGAAGCGGAGCCGACCCATCATCAGCAGCGAGCAACTCGACATCGAGGCCTACGCGAGCCTCTACAGCGGCCGCACCAAGATCATGCGCCTCCTTTTCATCGCCCAGAGGAGCCAGAGCAACGAGGCTATGGAGCTGGAGGCGCTCCGCATGGCCTACGACGAAATTAAGAAGGGGGAGAACACCCAGTTGCACAGGGAGGTCGTGCAGAAGATCGCCGGTCGATTGGGGCCGGAGTACGGAATGGACGTCGCTTGGTGCGACACTGTGGATAGGAGGGCCGAGCAGAAGAAGGAGAAGCTCGAGAACGAGCTCAATGCCTACAGGGTATGCCGTCCATACAACCCTCTCATCTTTGTGGTTCTCTCTTTAATTTCTAGGGTTTATGTGATTGAGTAGTATATAGGTTTTTTTTTTTTTTTTTTTTTTTTGTGGTGGGTTTTGTTGTGTTTATTTAATTTTAATTTTTGTTTAATTGTTCATGTTGATATACTTGATATGGTGTGCCCATAGTCTGTTTGCTGGGTTTAATGGTTTGTCATAGTTATCGTTTACGGGTTATGTTGTATATACAAACGTGGTTATGGGTGAGATGTTCTATTCACGATACAGGCAGTCATGGTCCTGTGGCTTGTATCTTAGGCAGTGTTGGGCAGTAAGCAAACAACTTGTTCACCCCTCGACTTTAGCTTTGCCTTCAGATGTTTTGGTGGATCAGTGAAAAGATGTTAAAGGCACATAGTAGATGTTATTCTTTCGGGTATAGGAAAGGTAAAGGAGATGGTGTACTGCAGTTTTGTGCATGCAAATGAATATGGGCTTTTGATGTTTTGTAAATTGAAATGGACCGTGGTCATTGTTCTCGTCAACCTAGTGAAGCTGTCGGGTAATAATCAACTTTGGGCTCAAAATGGAGGTTTCCAAATGCAACATTGTCAGTGGTTAATGCATGACAGATATTTTCAGACACATTTACTTATACGTGTTGCATATTTTTCAACTGTTGGTCCTCTTAGAACTTCTTTTTTGTATACTTATTATTGGGATCTAATGAGTTCTCATATACAGTGGTTAGGGTTCTGCTATAGTTGAGTTTTTGATGCTTATTATATATATTTTTATGGTGGGAAAAACTACTTTTGGGATTTCTGTCCGAGGGTTGTTATGCATATTTCCTTGCTTATGTTCCTAAATAGTAAAATAAGTGCAATTTATGTGATTAAATCTTATTTGGCTCCCATTATGGCGTACCATGATCTCTCATTATTCCTTCAAATGCTTTTGTGCAGACAAATCTGATCAAAGAAAGCATAAGAATGGGTTACAATGATTTTGGAGATTTTTATTATGCTCATGGTCAACTTGGGGATGCTTTTAAAAGTTATGTTCGGACTCGTGATTATTGCACTACGTCAAAGCATATTGTTCACATGTGCATGAGTTCAACTCTGGTCAGCATCGAGATGGGTCAATTTACTCATGTCACAAGCTATATTACCAAAGCAGAGCAAATACCAGATGCCCTTGACCCTGTCACTGTGGCTAAACTTCGTTGTGCTGCTGGATTGGCTCACTTGGAATCTAAAAAATACAAACTTGCTGCTCGTAAGGTTGTGGATATTTCATTACTTTTTTTCTATCGTAATGCTTTTTTCTTTTTCTTGTTTTTTTTAAATATATATTAAAATCATCTAGCTTTGTGCTTTAACGTAAGAGCTTGTGAGTTTATGATTTTAATCAGTTAGGCATGTTGTGTTTGGTATGCTAAAACAATTTACAAATACTGAGAAGGTCAATTAACAGTCAATTATTTCATGCGCTAAAGTTGTTTCAACTACAAACTAAAAGGATGTGAGTTAGCTAATGATGAATTAAGATGCCTTGTGTGCGTATCGTATACCAGCAGTTTCAAATACAGACTGTGAGGGAGTGTTTGAATGCTCAGTATTTGGTGTTCACACAATGAACTTTTTCGTGTATATTTATATATTATTCAGTATATAATGGCATCTTTCATTTTATATCTTATATTCTGGATCATATTTAGTGTGCCTTTTGGGAACCTTCATAGTATAATTATTTCCTTACAGCTCTTTCAACTGTACTATGTCATTATTATTTTCCAATCTTATTTTAGTTGCAATTTATGTGTTCTTGTTGGGCAGAATTTATGACAAGATATTCTGATAATATTGAACTTATGCCTTCAAAATCAAAGGAAACAGTTTGACCTTTAAGTATTGCTAATTTAATTTTTCCTGGTTTTAAGATTGTCCCTGGTTCCCTAAATTTTATTTCTATCCTACATGAAGGGTGTTATTATATGCCCATTATTTAGTAAAATCAATTGCAGTCTTTTGACAATGTAGTAGTCTCTGTCTTCCCTTTATCTGTTGCTTTCGTGAGACATCTAATGTTTTAATCATGCTCATTCATTGTGACGTTACAGTTTCTGGAAACTGGGCCTGAATTAGGAAACCACTACAATGAAGTGATTGCTCCTCAAGATGTTGCAACATATGGTGGGCTTTGTGCACTTGCAACTTTTGACAGAATGGAGCTTAAGGCATATGTTCTTTCTTTCCTTTTAACTATATCCTTTTGATTTTATGGTTTTTTGGTTTAGACATAAAGCTTCTTTCTCAGTGAATGATTTTATATGACAGAACAAAGTTATAGACAACCTGAATTTCCGGAATTTTTTAGAGTTAGTACCTGAAGTCAGGGAGCTTATCAATGATTTCTACTCAAGGTAATCAATCGTGATGTTATCTTTTTAGTTGTTGCCTTGCTTCATCAGTGTGTCAATTTCAGCAATGGTGCTTCTACACAATGCATAAATGGTGGGGGAATTTCAAGTTATATAAACATTTATAGATTTAAATCATGTGAAGATCTTAAAATTATTTTTCTTGTTAAACCAATTTGTCAAGTGAGATTAGACATTACTTGTTTGTACCATAATCCATCCTGTGATTACTTTGAAATGACATTAGACCTTGCTTACTCATAGTTTCAATTGCAATGAGTTCACGTTTTCCAATTCCTTGTTGGAAATGAATATAGAAGTTGAAGGTGCTTGTGCTTGTGCAATTGCTTTTACCTGTTGGCAGTGTCGAAGGCTTGTTATCTGATTGATGTTCAGATATTTCAGTTTCAGTAACATTCATTTGTTCTTCTTTTGTAGCCATTATGCTTCATGCCTGGATTACCTTGGGAATCTCAAAGCAAATTTGCTGCTTGACATCCATTTGCATGATCACCTTGAGACACTCTATGGCCAGATCCGCCACAAGGCTCTCATCCAGTATACGCACCCCTTTGTGTCGGTAGATTTACACATGATGGCCAATGCTTTCAAAACTGATGTTGCAGGGCTTGAGAAAGAACTTGAAGCTTTGATCACTGACAACCAAGTCCAGGTGTGCTTTTCAATGCTATCTGCTGTATCTACTTGTATGGGATATTTACCTAGCTTGTAGCTTACAAAATCTTGCTAACTCACTCCATGCCCATTTGTCAAATGGACCTCATATAATTGGTTCACTTAAGTGGGCCTTTACTTGATGTCCTAGGACTAGGCATGGAGTTTGGAACCCAATCGGTTAACTGAGGTATTATGCACGATGAATCGGTTTTTGTGGTAGGTTTTGGGGCGGTGGGGTTGAAGTGAAACTTTAGATCGGTTGTTTTTCATGTGTAGTATTTTGTTCTTTATTGACCGAATACATGATGCCACTTCAGGCTAGAATTGACTCGCACAACAAAATCCTCTATGCACGACATGCAGATCAAAGGAATGCAACTTTTCAACGGGTGCTACAGACAGGGAATGAGTTTGATCGGGATGTTAAGTCTATGCTCCTTAGGGTAAATCTTATAAAGCATGAGCACAATCTCAGGGCATCAAGGAAACACTGATTATTTTAGACAATGTGTTAATCTGGCAATCTGGCCAAGGTTTGCGTCTGCACTTTTTGTTTTTGACATTCATCAGCTTGGTTTAGTACGGTGGAGGATTTGACACATTTAGAAAACCAGGGTGCAAATATATGCGATCTTTACCGATATTAGATGGTTGTTGTCTTGAATATTCGGATTTTGATTTTGATTAGATTTTTAGTAGTTGCAGCATTGATTCAGTTTCTTCTCCGTTGGACAATGTCAATATCGAATATTCAGATTGAATATTGAAGCCGGAATTGCATAAATTTTAATGCCCCAGTTTGAGGACTTATATGGTATTGGTACAGTCACAATGCGTGCCGTGGCAATGAAATAAGAATGTGTACATTATTAATCACGTCCTTATTTTATTAGTACCAGAAGCCACATTGCGGTTGTTTCCGTGCAATGTAACTTGTTCTCCTTAAGTTTAACCATAGATTACTTACTAGGCTGGTGCACCATCAGGCCTGTTACAATTGTCAAAATGGAGCTCTTTCAAAGCTTTTTGAAGTTTTACAGTGTTGGTTGCCGAGTTTACTTTTAGGCTTTAGACTTTACCGAAGGTTTTAATTACTCTAATACCGGTGATAAGTCTGGCAATATAACCTCAACCCTGGTTAGTAAATTCGCATGTTATACATGTATTTAGGAATTGCTTTGTAAAATATTTCGGCTTTTCTTATGCTGCTCATTGATTATTTTTATTACAAAGAATATTTTACACTAATGCACACCGAAGATAAGGTGGAGTGTTTGAAATCAAAACGCTATGCGTTGAAGAGGATGCTCTAAACCCTAGGAGCACTCACCATTTTTTGCTGAAATTGTTTAATACAAATCCTTTACACGTATTTCTCTCTATGTCGTTTTAATTGAATTCAAGCTATATTCTAAAATAATCTACACTAAAGGGAAGGCGGAGGATTAAACTTGAATTATAGTGGGTTTAAGAGGAAGACTCTAAGGTTATGTCCAATGGATTAGACCATAAGGCCATAGGCCATGTTTTAGCTCAAAATAAGACAAGATCCAACTCCAATGGAGGGCTGGGCCCAAAAAAAGACCCACCAGACCATTTGTTAGCCCTTAGGCCATTGGGTTGGGCATTTTGAGCTAGCTAGCCAACCCGTTTGAGATGCCCAAGCTGTTAGTAGCCCATTTGCTAGTTGACTTTAGCTTGCTATTGGTTTTCAATTCTTTTTTTTTAGGACGAAATTTTATTTGACATACCCGACCCGGATCAATCCTGAAGAAAGCTCGGGTTTCTTCATTTTTCAATCTTAGAAATTCTTTGTTTTCTCCAGATTTCTTGCTTTCTCGAGTATATGGACGAGTTCAAGAAGCTTAGGTGATTTTTCAGTGAGTTTAGGTCATTTTTGGAGGTGGATAGTGGATGCCTGGGTTGTTCCGAGAGGGAGAAGAGGGAGAGCGCTATGGGAGAGATGAGTGGGTAGAGAGAGAAAGGGAGAGATGTGAGGTGTGATAGATAGGATGTGGGAGAGAGAGTTAAATAGGACAAAAGTAATGATGTGTCTAATAGATTAAAGGGAGTCTTAACAAAAAACTCCTGATACTGTTCACTTTTAACGTTAATGATATTTTTGCTCTAAAAAGTCACTCCTGATACTATTCACTTACAACACATTTTTATCTTTTTGATTAAAACTCAAAGTTTTCAAGCAATTTTCATTAGTTTTCCTATTATTAAAGGAACAAGGTGGGGTTGTGGCGTGTGTGGAAGAGAGTGAATAGGTGGAGTGTGATGATGATGGCTAATGTGAATGCATTGAGTGAGAAATTCAAACCCACCAAAGACAATTCTTTAATGCCCACAACTCCGGAGGCTTATTCATTTAGCGACAAGTGACACTCAAAATATGTCTGGAGATCTTATTTTAATATGGTAGTTTAATTCAATTAACCAATAAAATTAAAGAACAAACGTAAAACAATAAATTATTGAGGGGGCTAATAAATAGCCTCATTCTGTTGGAGATGGTAAATATGGCCTGATACTGTTCAATAAAAAATAATTTATTACAGAACTATAATCTAGACGGGGGCTAAACGTAGCTACTTCAATTGGAAATGGAGAGGGCTAGAAGTCCAAAAGCCAAAAAATGACCTGATTTGTGCAAAAACTCATCTCCAACTGATAGTAGGGCCATAATTCTATAGAGTGGACATGTCATTATTTGGTCAAAAGAGCATCAGACTAGCTAAATATAGCCCCCATCTTAGCCTTTTTTTGGCGCCCAACTTCTCATTCGCAATAATTGATTCAAATTCAACAACTAGGTTTGAAAACATTCAAAGATAATTTAATTAAATTAATCAATATTTAAAGTATAAACTTAAACTAATAAATAATTGAAGAACTCTGTTTAGGCCATTTAGTTAAGATGACCTAACAACAAAGGCAATCCAACACTTGCTCACGCCTCTTTAAATACCACATAACAAATTCACATATTTTTAATATATATTGACAGAATAAAGATATTAAAATTTTAAATAAACAAATATATTAAAAAGTTGTATAATTGTTGACTCCTTCCACTGTATTGTGTTTTACTAATTATGACATCAGCTAAGATGCCAGATGGCGGTACAGTGATTTGGGTTCATTCATACATAATAAGCGTAAAAATAAGAATAATATGTAGATACTCACTAGTGAATACTCATCTTTTTATTTGGTCAATTATATTTTAACACATGTTTTCTTGTTTAAAAAAATAATAGACATTTTATTTAACTTTTGGAGAAATTACACATGAGGTGTATAAAATTGGTACCAGACAGATTATCCTACAATAAAAACTTTGAAACCAACTGTATTGACTAGTCACACGTACTAGTCAACTAGGTACTAGTCACACATACTAGTCAACTAGGTACAAATTGTTAGGTACCCACAAGTATATAAACCCAATAAACTTATGAAGCTAAAACAAGACAATGTGATCTTTTATTATGTTTTAGCCTTAGTTGTTGAGTTATGTTTACTTGGTTAACAAAGTGTCAATACTAGCAAACCCTACAAAGTTTATCTCTAACAGTGATTATATGATCATAAACAATGCTATGTAAAGTATCAAACACAAGGAAGTTTTTGGCTGGAAAAGTCCACATTTGGGTTAAAAAACCGAGGACTCTGCACTGAGTCCAATCCACTAACGTAAACAAGGTTCATACAAAGACCACACAAGCTCAATTCCTAGATCCCTATCTATGGAGTAGCTTTAACTTTGTGCAACCTTGCCCTACACGAGATGAACTCCTTTGGTCTTCACAAAGTGGCAGCTCCTCATGAGCTATTCACCTTGTGGCACTGAGATCAACACGATCAATGATATGATGTTATGATATGTTTATGAATTGAGGATTCAAACGACTAGTCAGGTTCTCTAGTCAAACAGTTGAAGAAGAACCTAACATGAATCCAAAAGATTGGTCTATGAAGGATATGAAACTCAATGTTTAGACAGAGAACTTAATACAAAACCATGAATACAATGGAACCCAAATATGCAGTGATTGGGTATTTGTGCATGAGATGGTTTTGTGGCTAGGGTTTCGGTTTTGAAGCTTAAGAAGTAGCTCTAGGCTATATGCACTATTTTTCTTGAGATGTGAATAATCTAGCCAACAACAAATGAAACCTTGAAACCTCTTTTAATGGAAGGGCTGGATGTTTTAGACTAAAGGAACAAGGAGACACATGTCACAAGCCAATGAGACATTTTTAGATCAAGGGTGAGAAATCCACACACGGGAAAAAATGTTAGTTGGCCCATGTGGGCTATCTTAATTTGCGTGCTTAGACAGCTGGACAACAGAAGGAATTTCTGATTAGACAACTACACTAAACAAAATAATCTGGAAAAAATATGTTTGGTATGCATATGCAAATGTAGAATCAAACATTTTGTAGTGAAGATGATTGGTGCTTTGACAAATTCAATTCCAGCAGTAATCCCATATCAGCATTGTACCCTAACTCTAAATTATGAGCAAGTGTGGTAACATTTACAGTTTTTGACAAGGGAAGCCAAACAATAAACTTAATACTTAACAATCTCCCCCTTTGGCTTTCCTTGAAAAATAACCCCAAACCTATAACAAAATTCACACACCACTCACACTCAAGAAACCATGCAGTGACAAGAAAAGAGCAAGTAACAACTCTTGTAGCAACACACATTTCTCGGCAAGAGACAAGTGAGAATGATCATGGGTTATTATAACATAATAAGCTCATCTTATAAGTGATACCAACAAGTACATGATCTTTAAATGAATATTCTAGTTACACATTTAAATCACATTTAATTTTTTCTACCCCATTTTGTCATGGTAAGACAAAGGAAGAAGGTGATAAACAAGCAATCACAACAAATAGAAAGGAATTAACAATGAAGCATAACAAGTATCAAAGAAGGGACAATGCATCAAGCAATACTAAAACAACCCAAAAGGTACAAATCTTAGTACGAAAAACATCAAATACCAAACAATTTAAGATAAAACCTAGCTAAGAGTAGCAAGGTTAATTACAATAAGAGCAAAAAAGAAATGGAGATTTAACTTGTTCAACAAAACACTGTTCAAGAATTAAAATAAGAGAACTCCCCCATGACACTTGCTCTCATGAAAACCAAGGTTCTAAAAAACGATAGGCGCTAGTCGGACGGCGAGCTAGCGCCTAATGCCTAGGCGTCCTAGGCGGATTTAGGTAAATTTCTTGTATATCTTATAAATAAGTGCATATTGACACATAAAAAATTATACTTGTATGAAATTCATGGATAAGATAATAAAAGAATGATAAAATACAAAAAGAGTATCCAACAAGTTCAAAATTTAAAAACATATTAAGCATATATATACCATATAACTTAAGACATTTTGAATGATTATATCTAATTTTTTTTTAAAATAAAAGTAAAAATCCCATGTAGTGGGTTGGATGGTTCATATCGGGCAGTGGATTAGGGCCTAGATGAGAGCCTAGGTGGACTAGGAGGTTTTGAGTAAATTTATTACATATGATATAAATTAATTTAATTCATAGGAATGAAATAATAATTCAAGTCATTTTGAACGATTAGTAAGTTAAATTAATTAAATTATGAGAGATAAAAATATAATTCAAGACATTTTAAATAATTAGTATTTAGTTTTTAAACAATAAAATTTAAAAACCCCACCTAGTGGGTTGGGTAGTTCATAAACATTTAAAAATAAAAAACTTGTTCATAAAAATCCACGTGTGAGGTTTGAC